ATTTAAAAAATCTATGAAAAGAAAATTTGAGACAAATTTTTTTTTTTAGATAAATAGACCTCTTTTTAAAGCTGAATTGAACGGTGTGGGTTTTTTAAAATCCAATGTGTGGATCACATAATATTTCAAAAACTTTAACTTTTGAGTATAGATGATCCGCACTGTATTATTGTTACTATTACTACTATCTCTGTTCTGTTAACTATTACTATTGCGATCATTCCCTGATTCGAAAAACGGTTCTTTATATAATTGAGAAAAGTAAGAACTCGATTGTCACGACATTTGCTTTGACCAATCTGGATGGATTACTGATTCCAATTCATTTCAACCATTCATTAAATTGGGTTCAAGATCCTTATTAAACAACGTTTTCCTAAAGAGGGAGAAAAAAGATACTATTTCTTTATCTTTTTCTTTAAAAGTTAGTAAAGATAAAATTGACAGCTCATAATGTTACAAAATGCATGTGAAATAAAATTAATATATATATATAGAAATAATAAATTAAGTTTTTTTTTATTTATAATTACATTTTTCATTTCCAAAATTTTTATATCCTTAATATTTACCAAAAAAATGGAATAAAATTTTCTTTACCATTGGACTTAACACTTCAGGTTCATGTTGATAAAATGTCTTTCGAATGAAACAATAATAGAAAAATAAAAATAATTAACAATTAGAAAAGTTTAAATATAAAAATTTTAGAAATTAATTTTTCATTCTCTATCGTATACTTTCAGAAACATACCATAATAACTCCCATAGCGGCAGAGAAAAACCAAATATCAGTAGTTTGATGTAATTCGAAGATCCAGTTTTTTTGATACATAATTTTATACAAAGATTCAGCAGCTTTAGGTAAAATATATAGAGTCAAATCTGTTCTTCTACTTTTATGTTCAATAAAGATTGTCGCACAAGAGAACACACCAGCCAACCAATACAAATATTTCGAGTCCCAATTTAGACCGATACTTTTTATAATATTGCGATGTAGACAAATTTGTATTTGGTAGGTGATGATAAGTGATGATAAAAATAGACTTGATCTTACAGTATTTACTGAACTTTTTTTAACAAGGGATTTTGGACTAATAAAATCACCAATTCGTGTGCAAGTATTTGTGTGAGATGGATTAATTAATAAAAATCTAATTCCCGATGAAGGCTTCATTTTTGTATTCTGTTTTTTACTTACTCTTTAATAAATTGTACAATTTTTAATGCGATCATCGGCACGAAGTTTAAAGTTGCATAAACTGGAAAAACTGTTTTGAACACTCGAAAAAATCTGTCCATTATTGAATAAATACACGAATCAAACTTTGGATGTATCAATGCACTAATAAATAAATAAAATAAAATAAAATAAAATAAAATAAATATTATTTTTATGTATAAATTTCAAAGTTCTCGCTAAAACATAAATACAATAATTACCAGGGAATTACAACAGAGTTTGATGGCAAATTTGAAACAACTTGATAAGCATGTTTAGTTCCTTTATATTTATCAAGTATTTCCATCATGTCATTCAACTTTAAGGGGCTGTTACCACGTTTTAGTTTCAAATTTAAATCCAATGTTTCTTTGGGAACACGTCCAATTTCCATCATCCATTGAAGAAATTCTGATGGTATCGTATTCGGATGCATCTAATTAATATATTCGTCAGCATAAATATTTAATTTAATATTATATATAAATACAATAATCGTCATAATTACTAATAATTACCGTGTAAGCATATAAAACTTGTCCAGTGGTAATCATGAATAGTAAAGGAATACCATGTGGAATTCGAAAATATTTTCTGGCACGACCAGCATTACACAATGCTTGAAGTGCACTGCATATTTAATTATAAATTTTTTTGTTAATGAAGAAAGAATAAAATCATAATTAATATGATATGCAAAAAATCATATTAACCGAACAAATAATTGTTGTGAAATTTCTATTCTTCGTTCGCGTTTTTCAGCCAAAAGTGAAAAACCAGCAATCGAACCTAAAGTAAATATGTAAATATTTGCTTATTTGTTTATTTTTATTTAGAGAATCTTTTTATTTACCGGCAACAAAAGAATTCCATTTATCGTCTTTATTACGCGTATAACGTAATCCGTTATTTATAAATTTCCATAAAAATGAAAATCCTCCAAATCCTACTGCAAATCTAATTGCATCTTTTCCAAAAAACCCACGTATAAATGCTCGATAAATTGTTCCTTTCCTTGATAAAATATTTTTGTAAAGAATTTTTAAAATTAAAAATTTAAATTTATAAATTTTAATTAATAATAATATAATTATTTATGTTTAACCTTTTTCTAAATACAGTTAATAAATTAAGTAGAAATTTCACACCACCACGAATACCATAAGCCATTATATAAGATCCTATATTTATTGTTAATATAATATACAATGAATTATATCATTACAGCCACGTATTTTTTTAAAAAATATTCGAGCTCAAACACTAAACTCAAACGCTAAAACTCTCATTAAAGCTCATCCTAAAAACTAAAACTCATTCTTACTAAAACCACCAATTATCGCGTGTAAAACAATTTCGTTTGGTGTATTTGGTCTCTCTTTTACAACCAATTTTTTAAACTTCGTTTTTGATGTAATAATTGAATTGTTGTCATTATTAGTGGGATTTGTTATATTATATTCGACATTGTCATTATTGTTACTGGCATTTTTTTCTAATTCATTAATAGATTCTTCTTCATGTGGAGACATTCTATTAAATATAATTAATTGAAGGTGGGTGAAAGGAAAGGATACGCGTGCATTTGTTGTATAAGTTAATTAATCGAAAGAAAGATATAAATAATTTTTTAAAAATTAATCAAGGATTAAGTTAAAAAGATTTTCGTGCGACAATCACTTTTTTTTTGGGGGAAAAAATAAAATATTTATTTGTGCATTGAATAGTCAAAAATTGGGGAAAGTTGTTTTTTTTTATCATTATTATCATTGGTTGGTGTATTTTTTTTTGAATTTTATTTAATTTGTAATCAAATCTAGTAAATGATCTTATGTAAATAGTATAATTTAATAGAGATAATATACTCACTTCAATCCTCCTTCGACGGCAATTTAGGATGTCTATTCATCCGAAGGCAAAGCACAGCAGGTATAAAAGTTGTAATCCTTCAATTTATCAACCCCAAATTGCTAACGAGATACATATTAACTGGGTAATTAAAGCTACTTTTCAAGTTGAAGTAAATTCTTGAAAAAGCAATGCGAAACCATTCTCGTGCTCGTATATATAGTGTTTCCACCTCTCATACAATTATCAAGAGTGCAACTAACAGCATTATCCGAGTATGCAACTAGATCCATCTTGCTCAGGTCTCAACTCTTTTTCTGCATACTCACGATATAAAAAGCTATCATTCGCGTCATTCTATTTATTAATTAATAAACAAATAATAAACAGATAAATATTTGATTTTCAGTCTATTTTCAATACTTGGGGGAAGTAGTGGAAGATTGTGAAGATGACAATTTTCATTCATCAAGAAAATGTCATCAAATATTCCACTTACTGATTCAGATTGACAACCTTGGCTACATCCAATCAAAAGCACTATTATTTTGTTAATAATGACGATGGTATCAGCAGAATTCGTGTTCTTGTAGTTACATGCTCAAAAGCAGCGGGTCAAAATTTACCAGCATTATGGCGAAATTCTGGTAATTCTTTCGCACATATGCTGGCTCAAATTGATGGATCGTTTAATATTAAGTAAACTTTTCATTGACTATTATTAAGCTTTAAATTCTCTCTGTTCACATCATTTTATTCAAAAGCTTAAAATAAAAAATTACTTGCCATTCGACTTCAATCTAGAAAAACTTTGATAAGAGCCTAGGCAAAAATGGATTTTCTCTTTTACTTGGATGAATTTATAGTAGTATTCTTCCATTCCATTGCAATTATTTTTATTCTTTAGTAAAATTTCTTCATTTAACTGAATTGTTATCTATCCACTATAAAAAACCTTGAATGCCAAAAATCAATTTTGAACAAACCGACCATTATCAAACCAAATTTGATAGAAAAGTCAGTCGGTGTATTCCTTTTTTAAACATTCAAACATTAGCACCTTATTTCTATTGGGAACAAATAAAATAAATAAGCAACCCCTATTTTTTAATATTAATATTTACTAAAGGGTTTAAGCGTATCTCAACTGTTTAAATAAATAAAAATAAAAAATCTTTGACTGGGAACATTAGAATACAAAACAAACTTCTTTCCAAAGTTTCTTAAAAAAAGTTTTGGGTTAGATTTCGAAAAGGAATGCTAGAGGATAATACACACAGAGATCACATGAATTTTTCAAAAAAATTTTGTGTGTTGTACACATTAATAGCTTCCGATTTTTGGGAATACAAGCTTTGGAATTTCAAATTACTATCACTATTAAAGCTACAATTAAAAAAACACATTTGGATACCTTGCTGTACGACACTTATTAAGGAATAAGAAATCATGATCATCTTTGGTTCTAGAAACTCTATTTTTGGTACCGATCTACTGTATTACCTTTTGAGCTATATTAATGTTTGTTCGTCATTGTTAGTAAAAGTAATCTTTTGGAATTTTGTTGTGCTAATGTTCATCATTATTAGTAAAAGGCTATGATATTTATCAGCCAACCCATATGGTATTCTTGTTTTGCACGCGTTCTTTGTTTTTAGAAAATCATTTCTAAATTCGTGCTTCTCTACAAAAATCAAATTTTGTCGTGTAACAGAACTGCATTTTGCCCATTTGAATTGAATCCCTTTTATAGTTAAATTATTATTTTACAACAGATTGTGATTTTCTTTTTTCGCAGATCGATCGACTTTGACTGCTGTTGTACAAAGATCACGATAAGAAGTTTGCAAAAATAATCGGTGTGACAGCTTCTTGAATCAATCATTCCATTCACTTCTTTTTTAAAAAACCCCAATTTTCAAAAAAAATGGCGTTTTCTAGTTCCAGCAAACCAATAAATAACAATGAAACTCCAAAAGATTATGAGGTTATTATCGTAATTGACATGTTTTTATTAAAAGACTTAAATTAATCCATATATATGTCTTTAATGTATTGTCTCAAATTATGACATTTTCAGGTTCCTGAATCACCTCAAGATGGTATATCATCAATCACATTTTCACCAGTAGCAGATTACTTCGCTGTAACTTCATGGGATAATAATGTACAAATATAGACTAATAAAATAAATATAAATTCGATTGTGAATAAACCAATAAAAGGTGTTTTTTAATTAATTTAATTTAGGTTCGAATTTATGAAGCAAATTCACAAACTGGCTCTACTACTGGAAGAGCTATGTACTCACATGAAAAACCTGTACTTTGTTCAGCATGGAGCAAAGTATGTACAGTGCTACTAATTAATAAACCCTGTATATATATATATATATATATATATATATATATATATATAAAATATATCTTTATATCTATTTTCTAATTAGGATGGTACAAGAGTATTTTCAGGTGGTGCCGATAATGCTGGTCGTATGTTTGACGTTGCTACACAAACAGCAATTCAAATAGCTCAACATGAACAACCAATAAAGTGTATTAAATATCTTGATACAAACAACGTTATATTAACTGCCAGTTGGGATAAAATGCTTAAGGTAACCTTTTGATTAATTGATTGGTTTTAATTCAACTCTTTTTTTTTTTGTTGTTTTGAAGAATTATAATTTTACTTTGTTTAAAAAATAATACAATAAAGAAGAATCTATAATAAATTGGTTTAGTATTGGGATTTACGATCGTCACAATCTATTATGACTGTCAACTTACCTGAACGTGTTTATGCTTTGGATTTAATGTACCCAAATCTTGTAGTAGGAGTTGCTGATAGACGTCTCTTGTACTATAATCTTAATAATCCTCTTCAACATATAAAGGTAATGATCAATTGATTGATTAATTAGTTGATCAAGTGATTTATTCAATATTCAATCGATTGGTTTATTATTTACTACAGGATGTTACAAGCACCTTGAAGTTCCAAACACGTTGTATAACATGTTTTCCATCTGGTACTGGATATGCTATAGGAAGTATTGAAGGAAGAGTAGGCATACAATATTTTGACGAGAAAGAGAACCAGTAAGATTTACTATTAATAACTATTAAATTCATTCTACCATTATTATATTGTTTATAATAATAATAATATTGTAATTATTATTATTTGTTATTAGAAATGGATTTTCATTTAAATGTCATAGAGATGGGAACAATATCTACGCAGTTAATGCCATATCTTTTCACCCATTGCATGGTACATTCTCAACTGCTGGAAGTGATGGATCATTCAACTTTTGGGATAAAGATTCAAAATCGCGTCTTAAAGGATTTGCCAGCGTTGGCACTTCAATTACTGCTTCTGATTTCAATAGCACTGGTGCAATTTTTGCTTATGCTGTGAGCTATGATTGGAGTAAAGTATGTTGTAATTGTAATAATTAATGAGCTATTTATAATATTGTATTTTGTTAATTAATGAGATATTCTCAACGTATATGTATACATACACGCACACATATAGGGATATCTTCAATATCCACAACTTCCCTCAAAAAATGCAGTCTACTTGCACGCTGTAAAAGATGATGATATTAAACCAAAAATACCAAGAAAACGTTAATAAATATTCTAGAATAAATGAATAATGGTAACAGGTAATAATAGTAATCACATGTTATATATAAACTTTACATTTTATTTTTTTTTGATATTTTTCACAATTACATAATGTACATGAAATCAATAGTTAAATTATTACACGTTGAAACAACGTGATACTTCTTGTAGAATTTTAAAAATAAAGGACGTGTTTTATGGTTTTATGTGTCATTTTTTTACGTGAAATAATAATTTTATCTATAAAAAAAAATTTTTTTTTTCCTAAAGAATAAATTTTACTTGAATAATTATTTTTATATAATATTATAAATTATTATTAAATTATTAAAATTATTAATATTAAATATACTTACATTAAACAAGATGTCTGAAAAATCAATAATTACTTACAAGCCACTTTCTCGACATGATCAAGAAAACAAAAACTTTAATCTACCACTGATATTCGGATCGAACATTGTTGGGAAATTTGTAAAGTGTATTCTTTTGAATCGTTTAATATTTATATTTATAATACAAGGCTCAAATATTATCATTCATCCTTTCATGTACATACGTACTCATGCGCATATAATTTAGCTTTATACTGTGGAAATTAAATGTTCACCACCATCAGGTGTTGAAAATGATAAGAATAAAAACGACAAGCCTGGGAAGAAACAAGTGACCTTTTGTGATCTAGTTACGATGGGCGAAACATATTCTAATTACAATAGAAAAACAAATATTTCTGGAAATCAGGAAAATAAAAATATAAAGGTTTGGTTTGAGGGTCAAACGCGTAGAAACACACATCTTAATAAAAAAGTTTATAAGGTATGAAGATTATATATATTTTATATTTATCAATTAAAAAAAAATAATTCGCTTCAAAACTTTGTTTATTGATTAGAATAAAAGATTCTGGAGAACGTGCTATTATGGTGATTATTCAAATGATTTGAAGATCAAACTTCCTCCTTCTAGGCAACACTAATCAACTAATATAGAAAATTAAGTTGCGGAGAGGATTGGAGTGAAGCGGGACAGGATTGGGGATGAGATTGTTGTAAATCTTTTTTTGTAAGTGACTGACTATTCTTGGTAATGGTTAACCAAATAATCAACAAAACTTTGCTCATAATATTAACATATTTGATCTTATCATTTATAGTTTTTTTTATCTATTCTAATATAATGGCGCTACTAATGATACTATTCATATTATTCATATTATTATTAATTGTAAAAAAAAAATTTTCTTTATATTTATATTTTTATACTTGCTATAAATAAAACAGAATTTTGTATTTTATTAAAAAAAAAAATAAAAACAAAATTATGTATATTAATATTATTTGGTTTATTATAACATGCCTAGTATCATCATCACCAATTATAAAAGACGTGAATTCATATTTGATCCCACGTGGTCCTCAACAAAATCCATTAACAGGATGTGCAAAAATCAATGCTGACTATCTTCAATTTAAAGCCAAAATAATAATTAATTACGAAGATGTTAAAAATTGTTACGAAAGTCTTCCTTATAATAATGATATTGCTGTTTCGGTACATTATATACATAACCTATTACCATTTTTAAATATTCTTTCATGTGATATAAATATAATTTATAATTGATATATAATAAAACAAACAGACCATCGAAACTATAAAATCAACACTAACCCAATTTTATATATTCTTGGACCAATCAAAAGAAAATCCACAACCTGGTTTCACATTTACAAAACAGGATATTATAGCTGAACTAGACGCACTGTTGCAAAAATCATATACTTCAGATTTTCAATTTTCTGTAAGTTAATATACAGAAAATACGAATTAATGAATATATATATTTATTTATTTATTATTTATGTTAACGAATACTTAGACAGATTTACAAAACCTCATTAGTCCATTAAAGGACGGACATCTGAGCATACAGAGTGAATGTTATAGTATATTCGCATTCGATCAAAAATTGTCATTATATTCTAGTGTAAAACAAGACGGAACTCAGGTAAAAAATAATATGATGAATGAAGCTAGTTCTTTAAATTATTTAACCAATTAATTAATCCAATTATTCATTTAGATAATTCAAATATTTGATGATTCAATAGACCCAACTAATATAGATTGTGAAGTCACACAGATCGATAATCAACCTGCACTTCAATTTATAATTGATTATGCAACAACGGAAATTAATGGTTCCAAGGATTTAGGTGTCAGGTTTAATCTGGCATTAGCTTCTTTAAGCTTACTCAATGCTAAAGCGGCTCCTGCAATTAGCAGTGAACAATTCACAAGACGTTTCGGATTACCCAAGAATGCAAATTACACTTATACCTTACAATGTTCAAATGCCACCGATCCCACTGCTCCCGTCATCACTAAAACAATTACTCGTAATTGGGTCGTGCAAGCCTCTAAGCCTGATTTGGATAGTGGCGGATTAAATGATACTAAAACTTTTTTTGAAACTTTCTGTTTAAAAGATCCAAAATTGGTGAACGCACCAAAAAGTCCAAGTTTCATCGAAGAATTAGAATCTTCAATGGACGATCTTTATGAAATAGATCTTATGTTTGATCAAAAAGTTACTCAAGGTGTATTGATATTTGATGCTGCCGTCTTAAAGTTTTATTTGTTACCTAATAATATAGGTGTTGCAGTTATTGGTAGGTTTAGTCCTTTAGATAAAAAGTCGCCTTTAATTTTATTTGATTCATTGATGAAAGGTTTTCAACTATTAAGCACAAATGGTGCAAAAAAGGTAACTTTGGTTTTTTTTTTGAAGTAGCTTTGCGACCATAATAATAATAATAACAACAATTAATTAAATATATAGGTCGTACTTGATTTTTCTAATAATGGTGGCGGATTAATTCTATTTGCTAGATTTTTTATTGCTCTATTATCACCTGATTCGAAAGTATATGGATATCCTGTTGATATGAAATTAACCGAATTAACACTACTTGCGATTAAAACAGCAGCAGCAGCAGCTTCTAATAGTTCAACAGTTTTCGATCCACGGAACTACGTTGATGCTAAAACATTGTATGAATTAAAAACTGCAGATGATTTAATTGGCAACAACTTCAAAACACGTGGTGGGGTGACAAGTAGATATACGAACAAATTCTTCGCTTCCGACTCGCAAATACTTAAAGAGTTATTAGGAAATAATACGAACCCTCTTCCCTGGAAATCTACAGATTATGTCATTCTTTCAAACGGATTTTGTGGTTCTTCATGTGCAAATGTAGCGCAAATACTTGAAGAACTGTGGAATGTTACTACGGTTGCTGTCGGGGGATTGTATGGAACACCATTATCATATGCATCATTTGCTGGTGGTCAAGTAACAAACCTTGAAGCAATGTTATATGATTTACAAACTTTGGGCATTACTTCAGCAAACAATAAACTAGTACCAAAGGGTTTTTTGACTAAGACAAACATTGGTTTTCCATATAAAGAAGTTTATAGTTATAAAGGAGAAGGTGAAATAGTGATGGAATATGATTTTAGACCTGCAAAATATAGAATTTATTATGATGCCGAAAGTATCAGAGATCCAAGTAAATTATGGCTACAAGCTGTCGGTTTTATACAAGAACAATAGTTAGTTATAAATTAATTAATTATTATTGTTATTGTGATTTACGCGCCCACGCCTTCTATATAAATAAATTTGACTTGTGTTACATGCTTACTTGTATTTCTCAAAATAGTAAAATTTATTGATGATTATTTTTTTCCTTTTTAAAATAAAAATAATAAGATAAAAAGCAAGCTTTTAATAATTAAATTGTTTAGCTAATATATAATAAACGTACACATACACATATAATAGCATATAATATATATATATATATATATATGGAACAAAAATTGATCGAGTTAGTGTCACTTTCTAGAAAAGCTTTACAAGTTGGAGAAAATTTATGTTCCAAAGCTGACAATCTTGTTAAAGAATGTAGAACCGATGTAGAAAATATCGAACAATTATATCCTAAACTTAAATTTATATGGAATGAATTGGTGGTTCAACTTAAGGTAGAACATTTTACATGTATAAATATTGTATAACGATATAGCATTTAGATATCATATTTAGTGTATTTAAATAATAACTAATCAATCGATCAATCAATCAATCAATCAATCAATCAATCAATCAATCATATTAATACCTTGATATACGTATGCGCACATATATATAGACCATTGACAAATTTCGGCTAGTTGCAGTGAAACAAAATGGAATTTTTGGACAATTTTATTCTGTAGGTAAAACTTTTCAATTTATATTTTTTGGGGGGAGGAGAAGGATGGAAGAAGGGCGGTTAATTGGATTTATAATTGTGTAAAAAGATAAAGTTTAATGAAAGTTCATATTTACATATGTATTGGTAATATTATATATACACGTGTATTTCTTTTAGAATAAAGAACAGGAATTAATAATGATTGTCGAAGAGTTGGAACACACATTAGAACAACTTCGTGGTAAACAGGTTGATTCAGCAATCCGAGAGAATGCAATATTAATGGAAAATCAAGCATTTATACGTGACAATAATAGCAGTGGTGGCATTGGTAGTATTGTTCTTGATGTAATAGGTGAAAAAGATATTAATAATAATTTAAATCAAAAAAAAAGAATGACATTATATGAATATATAGACGAGCAAGGTGTGCATGAACTAAAAACGAAGACACAAGATGAAGTTTCAACCATCCAGGTTAATATTAATAATAGTTAATAATAATAACATTTAATAATGATAATAATAGTAATAATACACTACTTTTCTTTATAATAGCAATTCTTTAATAGTAGTAAGTCAATACTTGATGAAATAAGTACACAACTTGAACGATTGCGTGAAATGTATGAAAGCAATACAATTTCACTTGAAGAATCTGGTGTGGAATTTTCATATGAGAAAAGTAATATTCAAGAACGAGAAACTCATTCCATGGCCGAGACATTAGTTTCCATAGCAAGGCATTATGATCAAGTAGCTGCTGCATTAAAGTATTATTATTATTATTATTATTATTGGGGACAAAGTCAAATATAATACATTAATAATAATAATATTTTATTCAAAATAGAACATACCAATCACACGCAGATATTGAACCTTTTTTGGATATTTCCGGTAAAATTTTAAATAATGATAATAAGATACTACTATTATTATATAATCATAATTTAATTGTAATCATAATAAACAGTTCTTGAAAAGGATACAGATGAATTACCAACGATATTGGATGATCTTCAAGAAGGACTTCAAATGATAGAATCAACCAGGTTTAAATTAGTTGCATATACATTACATATATATTAACATTAATAATAATTATTATTATATTATGATATTAATTAGCCATATTTTAATATAATTAGCGAAGAAGTTCATATTAGAAATCAAATATATCAATCATCATATGAAGAAGCATTAAAATTATTTAGTGAATTAGAGAAATTTACAACAAAAATGGAAAATCTTTCCAATAAAATGAAAGAACTCGAGGTAAATACTAACAAATAACAATAATAATAAATTTATATTTATTTGTGTAAATTGTTATTACATTAATATTATTAATTATAATATTGATTTATTTAGATGGAATTTGAGAAAAGTTCGCAGGTTGTTGATAAATATTTAGAAGAATTATGGAATTTGAATTCATGGTAAATAATTATAAAATAATTGTGTTACACATATTTACATGCGTAAATTCATTTAAAAATTTTTGGGAAAAAAAAACAATTTAGGTATAAAGAATTTTCTTTAGCATATGATCAATTAATAATGGAGATAGATAGAAGACATAGGGTGAAGGAACAGCATGAAAGATTAGCCGAAGAATTTTTAACAAAATTGGATGGATTATATGCTGGTAATCATAAATTATAATGCTAGTCATGATAATGATATTGTTATTATGACGATGATTATAATAATGTAATAATAATAATCATGTTAATATTTTGTAGAAGAACAACAACAACGTGATATATTTTTTCAAAATCATGGAAGATATCTTCCGGAAGATTTATGTCCACCAATTAATGTACTTAATCAATCAATCAATTAGTCTATTTATTGATCGATTGATCAATTAATTAATCATCCATTTTTTTTATTTTGTTTGAATGTTAATAACGTAGGAAAAACCAATTAAATATGAGGTTATTTCTCAAGACACAAAATTACCAATGTTATCTAGTAAAACATTAACAGAGGTAAAATGAATTTCGTTACTATTATATTTCACATTTTTTTTTTACAAACATATTTTCTAATAATAACAAATAATAATTTGAAGGCTCGAGAAAATCTTTTAAAATATGGAGGAAAAGTTCCTTAATTTATCAATCAACCTATCTATCAAATCCTATTTATTGATTAGACTTAATATTAATAATAGCAACAATAATTTATTAAGATTATTAGTTTTTCTGTATAATATAATATAATAAAATATAAAATAGAATAATAATATTATACGGGTGATTTTACCACATATTTGGTATAAACATGGGTATATTTATTCATCGAGTGAGGCGAAATAAACCCGCAGAAATACTAACTATAATTAAAAGAATTATATATTTAAAAAAAATTAAAAAAATCAAAATTCTAGTTTCTAATTGAATATTTTTATTATTTACCAACTCCTAAAACTCCAAGAGCAATGTTTCCTGCATATTTAATCCTTGGATTTAGTCCGATTAATTTCATCATTATATTGATATTATTATTTTCCTTTTTGGATGGTGATGACTTCTCGATAACATTATACAATAAATATGATCCCAATCCAATAAATGTAAATGATCCAACAAGCTTACAAGCTAAACAATTTCGATTTTTTCTAGAATCATCATTATTATTAACATTAACATTAACATTACTATTATTACTACTAATTTCTTCTAATGGCATAATTAATATTAGAATAAATTTTTAAAAAAAAATAAAAAAAATGATTGAGGAAATCAAAAAAAGTTTTTTTAATAATGTGATGACATTGAAGAACTTGGTTTAAATCAAACAATTTTATTATAATTATAACACAGGCCGGAGTGCCCGAGTGGTCCAAGGGGCTAGACTTAAGATCTAGTATGCGGAAGCATGCGTGGGTTCGAACCCCATCTCCGGCAGTTAAATATATTATTCATTTTTTATTTTTTACTTTAATAAAAAAAAGTGACCAATAAATCAAGACATTCTGAACAAATTGCCTCTTTTATCTTTATTTACAATTTTCGATGAGGTATATCAGAGGCTTCGTTGCAATATTTTTTAATCCTTGACTATTTTTAAAATTATGGGTGAGTTAAGCTCGCATAATTTACAAAATTATCAGCAATCTGCTGGTACGTTTCAGTAACTGTGTTTCCTTCACGACACAAAGATTTAGAACAACTCCTAACAAATATTACAATAGGAAAAAAGTATCTTCAACATATCAACCTCTCTCTTATTCTGAAAAGGTGATGTCGTTCTTCATCTTTGATAAAACGATACGACATAAAAATAAATTTAACAGACGCTTAGTGCAATTAGTCGATCTCCAAGACAGACAACTTTTCTGCACAGTTTAACTAACATTTTTGTTCAAATCATGAACAACAGAAGAGATTATTCACATCACACGATCCTATCCTGATTAGAAAAAACTACAACCTTTCATTCCCCTCAAACAATTCAGTTGCGTATCTTTGAATATTTATCAAGGGCCCGACTTGTCGTGAAGCGATTTCCAATAGACCTTTTGGCTTGTTTTATATTTTAAAAACTTTAGGATTTCTCCATCTGTGTAACGGATATTGTAATGCAAGTCATCAGTTATTATCTTTATCATCTTCAGAACTACAATAATCAATCTCATCCATCATTTTCTCAACTAGCATTTTTTTGTTTAATTACATAAAATTATTGTATAAACCACCTGATGTTAAAAAACGATTTGTTTAGTTGTTTAATTCATTCTTTTAGTTGATTTGGTTTAATTCATTATATTCAGAAATCATGTAAAATAATATTTTTTTTTTAAAAAATAAATTATCTTCACGCAGAAATCGCTAACTAATGCGTTCATAATTAAAATTGTCCAAATCAAACATAATATACAAAAGGTCAACACAATTTCAGATTTTTTACGCATCCTTACTCTGACTATACCAAAGAACATCTAAAGTTTAAAGGTTTGTTCAATAATAACACTTTACGTATTTACATGCTATTTTTGTATACATACTTTATATTACCACCAATCATCATTGAACATGCATAATAATTTGGGGCTTTGTGAACAAAAAGTCACAAGACGAGAACAGAACCCATTCGTGTTACCTGATAAGGGAATGTAAATAATATTAGGTAGTCTTTGTTATTATTACAAATTGATGATCATATACATTTTTGCTGTTAGTTCAGACGCAGTTTCCCAAACCCGGTTTTGTATTACGTCTCAAAGATACTTGTTTATAATTTAGGTTTAGGTGTTAAAGTTTAAATATCGATTAACTTGATAATAAACTTGATCATTTATTTCGATTGTTTCTTGATTCGTTTTATTTCTTGTTTGGCGTATTTTTAGAAAAACATTTAATTTGATTATTAATAAATAAATATTGTTCGACAATACGCAGAAATACGTACAATGATTAAAAATCGGTTAAAAATTATCAAGTTTCCCACAAAACTTCAAAATAAAAAATTTTCAAAAAAAAAAATCTTTTACAATGATTAAAAATAAAACTTTGATAATTTTGTTCAATTTATTTTTTATTTTAACAAATTTTATTATTGTTAGTAATCAATTACCACAACCACTACAACAACAAGAGCTTATTCATCCGTTATTATATATCAATGATCAGTTAAATGATCAATTAATAAATGTAAAAGAAGAAGAGTCTCTGTCATTATTTAAACCAGGTAAACACTGCAAACCACGTCATCCACCATCACACCGCAAAAGTCATCGTGCCTACGCATTATTTACCAATCCACCCGATGTAATAAAAGGTGCTTTGTTGTTTTGGGAAACCTTGGAAAACGGTACATTTGTTGTTGGGCAATTTAGTGAAGGTTTCTTGAAAGGAGAAGAGGAAGATTACACATTTAAAATTTATCAATCCAGTAATGAGATATTTGATTTGAAACCGAAAAACGAATCATTCGATAAAATTTTTAAAGTTAGATCTAACAATAGTACCGATTCATTTCTCTTTAATGTTAATGAAACTTTGATAACTAGTGGAGATATTGTTGGTTCTGATTTGGTTATTGGTAAACCTGGAGCTTTACTTGGAAAAAGCAAAATTCATTCTTTGCCACTTTAAAAAGTTCATAATAGTAATAATAATAGTTTTTGATTTTTTTTTTCCATATTATGTAATTAATTATTTTTTACATGTTTGTATTTATAACACTTTATTAACAGTTGAATATATTACAATCGCTATGAGATTTTTAAAAAATTAAAGTTTTTTTGTTAGCAAAAAAAAAAAAAAAAAATCTATTATAAATGATAATAAGTGATTGCGACTTACCAATAGTACTTGATATTAAAATTAAAAGGAATATAATAATGATTGAAACACAAAACAAAGTTTTTTTATCAAGTCTTTTATAAAAAGATGATATATTTTTTTCTATATCATTATTAATATTTCTCGTGGATGTTGTTGAACCATTTGTTGATTCATTGTCATCGTTATTATCTTCTAATAAAGAAATCTTTGACGAAATATTACCATTATCATTATCATTATCATTATCATTATCTTTGTTATTATTATCCGTTAATGAAGAAAAATCTATTTCTAGTGGCGGAGGTAATTCTAATTTAAGGTATTGTTGTTGTTGATCATTATCTTTTGAATTTAATAACATTGAACGAGGTGGTGGTTCTGGTAATTTCCATTTGACGTGTAAACTTGATCTTTCTGTCATTATTATCTCTCTATTTTTTTTTAAAAAAGATTTTGAGGAAAATCCAAAAATGATGATGATTTATAAATAATCATCATAATTGACAATTATAATATTATCATTTATAAAAAGTAAAGACAAATATTTATACAATCTACTATAAATGCTATATATTTACGTTACACTCACCATTGCGGCTTATCTTTTAACTTAAATAATTTATTAGGATAAAGCACTGCCCATCATCATCTAAAAGAATTAATTAAAAATAAACTAAAACGAACTAAGCAATCTCTCGACTCGTTAAAAAAGATTATGATCTATTTATTACATGTAAGCCATGTAACTTACATCTGATTTTGCAAGAGCAAATTTTAAAATATGATTTCAAAACATGATTCTTTTGCTGCAAATTCGTGTAATGATCCAAAGGATTAGTTAAATTTCTGACTGGCAACACGAGATCCTAATGCAATTTTTAACACTATTGATCAGTTAATTCTAGTGATGTTAGCCGGTAGAAAAACCTTAGCCGGCTAAGCCGAACAACTCTTATAGTCGGTTAAGAACTTGAATAAATCCCAATGATGAAAAACTTTTCAGATGGTACCAAGCTCACCAGTATTACTATCGTTATTATTAACAGGAGAGACCGTCCTATATAAGGAATGGATTTTCACAATTGATTTCAATTTTTTTTATACAGTTTAAAATACTTTTGCAAGGGTATCATGTAGCCCACTCTTGCAATAAATCATGTGCAAATAATTACACAAACTTGAATCTTTACACTTTGTTGTTATCATATCTTTTGAATCCCTTTGAATCCCACAACTTTCATAATACGTTTTACTCGAAGAAAAATTGCCTGAAATTAAACATTGCACAGAATGTAAAACCACTAAATCAAGCTAAATTTCATCAACGAAAGGCAATAAATGGAAAGAAGCTGAGAACAACAACTTAGTGAAAGTAACATTTGTTAAATGAATTTTGTAGAAAATCTTTTAAAAAGAGAACCTAAGAGATAAAAACCACAGATGCGGAAGGGGAAGGGGAAGAGGAAGAGGTAAGTGAAAAGATTGATTGCTACATGAAATAGAACCAATGGCAGTAAAAATATTGAGGGTGGCAATATTTTTGTCGCGCTATTAAAATTCAAGTGGCCTAGTCATAAATAGAATGATTATCGCAAATACTGAGTACTGATTGGTTGGGACGGACAAGATTACGGTGATTTTTATGAATTTGAGTGTGGGATTAGCTGATTGCAAACTTGCTTTGGTTTATTTATTTACAAAATGACTTAAACAGCTTGTTTAACGGCCTTACTTTTACAACGACGATTTTATTACAATATCACTACCGGTATTACTAATCATTAACGCTCACTAGTTAACCAACATTAGTCGTAACCTCACTAAAGCTAGAGGTTGGAATCGACTGAAATAGTTGAACAACTAATAATCGACTACTAATACTACTAATGCCAATACTAATGCTGATATTAATACTATGCTAATATCATTATTGTCTGACTAATTACGATTTTTGTGTTTTATCATTCAAAATGGAAAATTTCTATGCGGAAAAGTATTAATGATGATGATGACAATGGTGTTGTTGTTGTTGATGATAATTTTACATGTGAACTAATAAACACTTCCGACACAAGGTCAATAGTTCATTGGCTTCAAGTTCCAATGATTTAAGCGGTAGTTCCAGAAGACCTTTAAAAAAACGAATTGTAACACATGGTTTTGTGTGTAAGTATTTTGAAAAAGTGAAAGATTCAACTAGAAATGAATTCGTAATTTGCAAATTAAAAAAAAAATTATTATTAATTTAATTGACTAACTGACCGATACCACAATTGTGGTGTTGAAAAATCATAATTATTTTACAAAAAAAAAATCATAATAAATAATAAATATACAGATAAAACCAACACATACATACATATATATGATAAATGTTTTTTCTCTCTAGTTATTATTAGATATTACACTATTAATAAAATTTTGAATATAGGGTATTGAGATGAGATCTTTTTGTTCTTCTGCTTGTTTAATCCATTTTTCAGCTTCTGGTATATTAATATCAGTTCCAATTCCTTTTCTATAAAGCACTGAAAGTTGAAATTGAGCAAGAGAGTTTTGCTTATTGGCAGCTTCTAAAAAAATCCTTAAAGCCTCTTTTTCATTTTTATCTACGTCAATTCCTATTAAGTAACACCAGGCAACGCTATATAATCCCCAATTGTTATCTTTATTTGCAAATTCTTCAAATAATTCAAATATTTTTCTTTTATCTAGTTGTTTAACATGTTCTAAATATGCATCGCCATACATTATTGATGTTATTTTTGAGAACCATTGCAATAATAGTGATTTATCATTATTAATACTATCATAAGAACCATTTTTTTCAAGAAATCTTACTAAATATGATTGTGCAATAAATTTAATTGGTTCAAGACTTTGTGATACTTCCAGGTATATTTCTAATGCTTTTAATTCATTAATTTCTGTTCCTATGCCAAATTCACTAAAAAAACCAATTAAACATGAAAATTCATCTTGTAAACTGTTATACACTAATTCTGGATTTCGATTTGTTAATAATATAATGTTTTTTAAATCCTCAATAATTATTCCAACATCTTCTTTAATAATTGTTAGATAAATAAATCTGTTTAATAAAACACCATTAAATCTTCTTGCTTCATATTTCATTTGATCTATAAAATCATTCATATTGAACTGTCCATCATCATAAGGATATGAAATTAGGAAATTGCTAATATGTCCAATATTATTATTATCTGGTACTAGTGATCTTAGTGATTCACTTTCATCTGAAGAATAAGAAGATATTCTGGGTGATATTGATGGTGTTGGTGAATTGTCACCTGATAATATCCCTGAATTTTCAGCATAATTTGGATATAGGAATTGGTTGGTTAGTTCACCATCAAATTTTATTGAGCTTAATTCTAAATGCTTATAAGTTGACAGAGCTTGATAAGAATCTATGACATCTTCATAATCTTGTTCAGTAAAATTTATCAGTGTATCTAAAACTTTATTGGCATCTGGTCGGTTCTTAGGATCACTTTCCCAACATCCTATTATTTTTTTAATAGAAAAAATATTATATCATTAAATGAATCATCAACCAAATTTATATTATATATAATTAAATAGTAATTAATACTTTGATATAAATGTACATATTTTCTAGGTGATCCTTTTACTGGTGTTTCACGGTAATTTTTATTTACTATAAGCTGGACTAAATTCAAAGTGTTGAAATCTTTATATGGAGCTGTTCCACTTGAAATTTCCCAAAGTAACATCGCTAGCCCATAAATATCTGACTTTTTTGTTCTACTGAAACCTCCAGGATTTTGTAAATGTTCTGGATCTGAATACTTTGCTGATCCAAAAGCTCTTATTAACAAATTTGTAGATTCTGTTAATCTTCTTGAAATACCAAAATCTGATAATTTAATTTTTCCATTACTCACTAAAACATTTTCTGGTTTCTTGATAATTAATTTAATTAATTTAATTGGTTGATTGATTAACAATCATGATAATTATATGCTAATTAAATATTTTCAATAAAGACATGTAATATATTACCAAATCTCTATGTACAATATTATTATGATGTAAAAAACTAATTGCACCTGCTAATTGTTTAGCAAGTTCTATTTTTTGTTTCCAGTCAAATTTTGGATTTTCTTTATTTTTTCTTAGATACTCTTTTAAAGTTCCATTATTAGCAAATTCTAAAACAAGGGTGTAAGTTGAAGCTCCAGGCCCTAAGAATAAAATATGGCAATCTATATAATAAGAAATTTATCCAAAATTTAAATCTTATTATTATTATATAAAAATTCAAATAATACATTTTGTTAGCCCATAAAAATTTATAATATTTTCATGACTTTGGACTTTATTATGTAATTTTAACTGAAAAAAATAAGAGAAAAATAGATAAATAAAAAAATAGAAAATATATACATAAATAAAATATTAGAAACAAATTTACCTCATTTACAAATTCTTTATTAGTAAATTTCTTTGAAAAATTGAAAGATTTTAAAGCAACATTATTTTGTACTTTTTTTAAGAAAGCTCGACGAACCAAGCCAATTGCACCCGTGCCAATAATTTTTATTTCATTAAAATCACCAAAATCATATTCCATAATAAACCCATATTCAACCGCCTCTTTAAGCCATTCTTCTGGTGTCAATTCTGGATTCATTTTTTATTTTTCATTTAAAGGACACGAAATAAAAAAAATTGTTACACGAGAACCTAAATGAAAATAAGGCTATTACTATTTTGTGACAAAAATTTTCAATCCTGCAATTGTCACACGGATCACGGATTAGGAGATTTTATGTTAGTATTAGTATTAATTTTTTTAAGATGTGTATACATCAAAACAAATTGCAAAAGAATTTTTACCCTTTTTGAATACCAGTTTGAAATCTTGTTTTACACAGTAGTTGATCAAAAAAATACCTGTTTTTACTTCACTGAATCATATGGGTTGTTAGATAATTGTGTGTTGTCCTAACTCAATTGTGGGTAAAGCTCCAAATAAGCTGAGATTGAGCCAAGAAACAATAGGCTTGAGTTTTCAGGTCAAGCCAAACATTCAACTTAGCTTGAGTTTGATGTTATATAAATTTTTTTTTTAGGTAATTAATGATTAATTCTACTATTTTATAATACTTTTATTTTATTTACACACATTACTTAAAAAACAAATTTAAGAGCCTATTTCTTGAACTTTTGAAAATTCAAGTTTTAACTTGAGTCTGCTTAACTTAGAAAGTAAATAAAACAAATGACTCAAATGATTCAAATAAATGAATAAAGTGAATGATTTGAATTATTTGAATAGACAAATAAAATGAATGTCTTGGGTGATTCAAATAAACAAATGAAACAAATAATTCGAATAAAACAAATAGAATGAAAAAAACCAAATAAAATGAATATTTTGAATAAAATGAACAAGATGAATAAAAAAACAAATGATTTGAATAATTTGAATAAAAAAAAAAGAATAAAAAAACAAAAACAAATAAATAAACGAATATAACAAATAAATGAATGAATAAAACAAATAAAAGAAAAACGAATAATTCAATAAACTAATACTAATAAAACTAGTAGTCTGAAAAAGCAAATAAAACGAATAAGAATTTGTATTACGAATAGAAACTCTATATTAATATTAATAATGATAACAAACAAGTTGAAATTATGCCTCTTCAATCACTCCTTCGATAGGCACAGTGCAATGTGTTCAAAGAAGAACAAGAAGTGAAGCATGAAACCATTTCACAGTTGTAGGTGGAAAAGCCAAATATTTCTTTTGACTTTCGAAACCATTTTATTTCCAAAGGAAACCCTTTTAAAATTATGCAGAATTCAAGTTATTTCATATGGTATATATTTGAACCAAGTCAATTAAATCATTTATAGGTTCGAGTTGAATTAGATCGACTCAAAGCACGATTTGTATTCAATTCTAAACGGTTTTGCATTTCGCTTTTAATTCTCTGGGCAAATTTTATGCAATCAAATCTCGTTTCAACGGAAATTTTTATAAAACATATCAGATATAAAATTCGTTGAAACGTGATTAGTAATTTTGGTATAAATACAATTTTCATAGATTCATTGAAACGATACCTAAAAACATTTCCAACCAATATAGTTTATCATTGTTTTAATTATTAGTGGCCTGCAAAATCGTGATTTATAAAAAATAATATTAAATTTCGAGTTGCCCGGGCTAAGTATAAATTCGGCTTGGATTTTTACTCACCACCACCATGTTCAACAGAAGACCTGATGCCCCCAATTTTGTAATGCTCCCACTTTTTCACCAAACACAAGTTGGATCATCACTTCTAAAAACTTTGAAGTGAGATTCATCACAAAATTCCATTGTCTTGCTATTCAACTTCATTTGTCTAAACACAACTTTAATTGATTCTCTATTTGTTGATATATTTTAAATAAGGTCCGAAATAAACAAAACATCAAAGCATTAGAACAATTCATTTTTATTTCAAAATAATATTATATTGATTTGTGTTTAGCCACCATTTCTTGGAAGTTTGAGTGTCTTTACAGTTTTATTGGGACTACTACCACCTAATTTAAGGACCAAAAACTTTACTTGCTCAATTTCAGTTAATTTATAATTTTTTTGGCATTTTTAAAAATCAAATCAAAATAAAAAATTTTGATCTAATCAATTTTATTGCTGTTAGTAACAAATTTTTTACCAATGACAAAAAGCATAAAACTACGAAATGATAATTTTTTAATATTTGAGAAAAAAAATTTGATAAAAATTTTATTGAAAGATAACAGCTGTGGATCGTGTTGTAGATGTTGCAAAAAGATCCAGTACTGTTGGCTGGACTGAATAAACTCTATATTATAAGATGGAAAAAGATTTTATTATTTTGTTATTGAATTCAGCTTAGAAGCATACTTTAATAAGTTAGGTGTTATTCAAAAACTTTAATATTCGAACCTTCTGATCCTGGTGTTGTAAAAGCTCAGACGCCCCTTTCATGAATTAAGACTAAGAGGGCTGGAATTTTAATGTCATAGAAGATATTAGAACCTTATCATTTCCCATATTATCATCACCAACTCCTATGAGGCTTAAACATCAAGAATATCTTTATAACAATATTCACACATTTGTAAAAAATGAATTCAAGTCCAAACAAAGCTAACAAATAGTTAATGTCCAAGAAATTAAAAAACAAGAAATAATAAATTGTGGTGTTGAGCAATTCAACAAATCGTAATTTATTTTACAAAAAAATACATAATAAATATACAGATAATAAATAATAATAGATGATGTAAGAACCAATACACACATATATATATGATAAATGTTTTTTCTCTCTAGTTATTATTAGATATTACACTAATAAATTTTTGAATATAAGGTGTTGAGATGGGATTGTTTTGTTTTTCTGCTTGTTTCATCCATTTTTCAGCTTCTGGTATATTAATATTAGTTCCAATTCCTTTTGTATAAAGCATTGAAAGTTGAAATTGAGCAAGAGGGTTTTGCTTATCAGCAGCTTCTAAGAAAATCCTTAAAGCCTTTTTTTCATTTTTATCTACACCAATTCCTCTTAAGTAACACCAGGCAACGCTATATAATCCCCAATTGTTACCTTCATTTGCAAATTCTTCAAATAATTCAAATATTTTTCTTTTATCTAGCTGTTGAACATATTCTAAATATGTACTGCCATACATTAATGATGTTATTCTTGAAAACCATTGTGATTGTGATTTAACATTTTGATCTTTGTTCCCTTCTTTATTAGTATCACCATCTGAATTTTTTTCAAGAAATCTTACTAAATATAATTGTGGAATAACACTAATTGGTCCATGACTTTGTGATTCTTGCAAGTATATTCTTAATGCTTTTAATTCATTAATTTCTGTTCCTATACCAAATTCATCAAAAAACCCAATTAAACATGAATATCTTGAAAAATCTTCTTGTAAACTTTTATACACCAATTCTGGATTTCGACTTGTTAGTAACATAGTTTTTTTTAAATCCTCAATAATTATTCCAACATCTTCTTTAATAGTTGTTAGATTAATGAGTCTGTTTAATAACATATTATTAAATCTTCTTGCTTCATATTTCATTTGATCTATAAAATCATTCATATTGAACTGTCCATCATCATAAGGATATAAAATTGGAAAATTGTTGATATGTCCAATATTATTATTATCTGGTACTGGTGATCTTAGTGATTCACTTTCATCTGAAGAAGATGATGACAATGATTTTCGGGGGGATGAAAGGGTTATTGATGGTGTTGGTGAATTATCTGATAGTATCCCTGTATTTTCAGCATAAATTGGATATGGGAGTCGATCAGTTAATTCATCATCAAATTTTATTGAGCTTAATTCTAAATGCTTATAAGTTGATGGGGCTCGACAAGAATCTATAACATCTTCATAATCTTGTTCAGTAAAATTTATCAGCGTATCTAAAACTTTCTTGGCATCTGGTCGGCTCTTAGGATCATTTTGCCAACATCCTATTTTTTTTTAATAGAAAAAAATTATATTATTAAATAAATCATTAACAAAATTTATATTATGTGTAATATTAATTAAATAGTAATACTTTGATATAGTTGTACATATTTTTTAGGTGACCCTTTTACTGGTATTTCACGGTAATGTTTATTTGCTATAAGGTGGAATAAATTCACAGTGTTGAAACTTTTATATGGAGTTGTTCCACTTGAAATTTCCCAAAGTAACATTCCTAGTCCATAAACATCAGACTTTTCTGTTCTGCTGAAACCTTCAGGATTTCGTAAATGTTCTGGATCTGAATATCTAGCTGATCCAAAAGCTCTTGTTAACAAATTTGTAGATTCTGTTAACCTTCTTGAAATACCAAAATCTGATAACTTAATGTTTCCATCACTCACTAAAACATTATCTGATTTCTTGATAATTAATTTAATTGGTGATTGATTAACAATCATGATAATTATACGCTAATTAAAATTTTCAAAACAGACATATAATATCTTACCAAGTCTCTATGTACAATATTATTACGATGTAAAAAACTAATTGCATCTGCTAATTGTTTAGCAAGTTTTATTTTTTGTTTCCAATCAAATTCTGAGTTTTCTTTATTTTCTCTTAAATACTCTTTTAAAGTTCCATTATTAGCAAATTCTAAAACAAGGGTATAAGTTGAAGCTCCAGGCCCTAATGAAATTATAATAATTATAATAAGAAATTCATCCAAATTTTAAATATTATTGTTATTATTATATAAAAATCAATAATACTTTTGGTTAGTCCATAAAAGTTTATAATATTTTCGTGGCTTTGAGCTTTATTATGTAGTTTTAGCTGGAAAAATAAATAAAACAAGTAAATAAAATAAAAAGTATATATGTAATAAATAAAAATACTAGAAACGAAGTTTACCTCATTTACAAATTCTTTATTAGTAAATTTCTCTGAAAAATCAAAAGATTTTAAAGCAACATTATTTTGTAATTTTCTTAAGAAGGCTCGGTGAACCAAGCCAGTTGCACCCGTGCCAACAACTTCTATTTCACTAAACTCACTAAACTCATATTTTATAATAAAACCATCTTTAACTGCCTCTTTAAGCCATTCTTCTGGTGTTAATTCTGGAATCATTTTTTATTTTTATTTGGAAACTAAAAAATTAAAACACGAAAAAATAAAAAAGTTGTTACACGATAACCTTAAATGATCAATTCAAAAAGAATCTGTGTAGCCGGATCGTCTATAAAAAGTTTTTTTTATTTTCCGTAGATTATATATCAACTGCCAAAAATAATTTTATTCCATCTTTCATATCAAATAGTATAATGGCATACTAATACTATCTATTAATTTATTATTATTAATTTTTTCTGGACTAGTATTAAACCATTCCTTTTTCAATAATTAAATAATTCAGCTTTATAAGCCTTCTCTTTAAATCCTGCCGAAATTCTCAATAAGATTGAGATCTGGACTTTGGGCAGGCCAGGTCATGGGAGAACCACAATGTTATTATCTTCTTTCCATATACATTTCTGCAGCTGCTTTATGACATGGTGCATTATCTTCTTGAAAGGTAAATACGCCATCATCATCATATTTTTTGCTTAATTCATTAATAAAAGGTAGCAATTGAATGTTTTACAATTTTTTTCAAATTTGAAAAAATTCAACCTGTTTAGCATTTTCGTCAATAAATTGAGAAATAATACAGGATGCTTCATGAAATTCCGCAAATAACTAGATTTAAACATGAGACCCGTTTTTATTTATACCACAAAGGATGTTAGAACTTGCTATTGCAGTCAATTTTCGAGTCGAACATTTTCCAGAATTTTTTTTATCACCTATCTTTTAAGGTTTGTAAAACAACAGGGCTTTTGTTTATATGCGGTGAAACTTTGGTGGATACATATCCACCGATTTCTGCAATGTTACACGATTTCAGGCTGATTTTGGGGCACATTTTCGTTGTTTTTTGTTTTGTT